CGGCTGTTTGTTTCGCATAGAACATGCATTCGTACTGTATCGCACTTGTTCAGTCTATGTGCGGTTCATTCAGAGGAGTTCTAGGTAAAAGCATTCATGCCTTTCGAGTTGCATCCATCCGTCCTCTTCCTCTTGTTGCATGAGACACATTAGGATCCCCTCGGTTAAAAACATTCGAGTATGCCTCGTGTTCGCACCACCCTTCGGTTAAAAACACTCGGATACCTTTGGTTAAAAACATTTGGGTACTCCTGGTGTTCACACCACCCTTCGGTTAAAAACATTCGGGTACGCCGGGTGTTCACACCACCCATCGGTTGAAAACACTCCGGTACCTTTGGTTAAAAACATTCGGGTACTCCTGGTGTTCACACCACCCTTCGGTTAAAAACATTCGGGTACGCCCGGTGTTCACACCACCCATCGGTTGAAAACACTCGGGTACACCTGGTGTTCCTACCATCCGTCGGTTAAAAACATTTGGGTACGCCCGGTGTGCACACCACTCTTCAGTTAAAAACACTAGGGTACGCCCGGTGTTCACACCACCCTTTGGTTTAAAGCACTCGGGTACGCCTGGTGTTCACACCACCCTTCAGTTAAAAACACTCTGGTACGCCCGATGTTCACACCACCCTTCGGTTAAAAACACTCGAATACGCCTGGTGTTCACACCAACCCTTCGGTTAAAAACACTTGGGTGTGCCCAGTGTTCACACCATTCTTCCTCCTCTCGTGTGCAATGCGTTAGGATTGTTTATATTGGTTAAAAACATTCGGGTGTGCTCGGTGTTCACATCGTCCTCTTCCTCCTTCCGCATGCAACGCATTAGAATCTCGGTTGAGACCTCAGGTGCACTCGGTGGTTATGTCGCTCTTTGTCTTTCCTACGCACTACGTAGTTAAGCTTGCATAATTTTCTTACGTCCTTTCTGCAGGAAGTGTAGTTTAGTAATTCCCACGCGTGGCGTGTTTATTTGCTTACTTCTTTTCATGTTTGAGATTGTTGTACCTTGTTTCAGTTCGTTTGAATTTGGCATTTTCATTGCATTGCATTTGCATTTAAATGTTTCATTACAGCCTCATTGCATGATCATAAGTTATGCTCTTCCATCATGCATCTCACTTGCATCTTGCCCCAGAATTACACTAGGTTTGATTCCTTGCCAAAGGGATACATAGGCAGCCTGTGGGCGTAACCATTTGTTTTTAACTTATCTGTTTGTCCAAGCTTTCGGCCTTGTCAAAAATGGGTCGTCTCTGGGCTTTGACATTCACTCACGTTATTTCATGACTTCTGAGTTCTGTCAAAGAGGGGCAACTGTATACACCTCATTTTTGACCGTCCTCAAGACTTGGACATCATCGCTTGTGCACATGATGATTGTGTTTGTTTGTGCTCGTTTTGGTGCCGAAGTCCTCGGCGGAACGCCTTGTCTTTTAGCCTTCAAATCCCCATCCATTATGTGCCCTATTTTGGACCAAAATCTTCAAGCCTGTAACCCTTGGTGGCTACCGGCCACCCAAGTGGCCTGCTAGCCATCACTAGTGGATGGCCGGCCACATTAGTGGCATGCCAGCCATTGATACCTCTTTGCAGATATTTTCTTGATAGTTGTTCCAGCTGTTGGCACAATGGGCTTAATCACCATGCACGTGTATGGACTGATATAACTCAATTGAAAGCTTGTTTTTCTATAAATATGGGACCTTCTCCCCCATTGTAGAGGGTTAGAAAGTTTTCGAGCAAAATTCTCTCTCTCTCTCTCTCTCTCTCTCTCTCTCTCTTGCAATTTTGTATACATTTGCTCACAAATCCTATGCTTTTGCATGCACTTCCTTAATCAAACTTGATCACCTTTGAGTTCAGCTCCTTGGAAGCCTTCTTGGAGCTTTAGAAGGTGCTTTTGACTTGACTTTATGCCTAGAATTGTTGCTTGCTTCAAGAGGTATAACACTCCCCTTTTACACTTGCTTTGTGTACTTGTTTTTCCATCTCTTTCAACTGTTTTTGGGCTGATTTTGAACTATAAAAAACTCTATTTTTGTGGCCTAAAGGTTATGGTTTGAGGCCATTTTCAGTTAGGTGGTGGTTCACCCTCCTCCCTTCTTTGTTTGAAAAGCTTTTGTACCTTTGTTCACCACTTTCAAACCAACTTTTTTAGGCCTTTTAACCACTGAATTTAGGAGATTTTTCAATGGCAAAAAACTCATTTTGAGATCCAAATTTGGAGGGGTTAGCCTCCTCTCCTTGTGTCTTGTTTGCATGTCTAGTTAGCTCCATCTGTTAGCATGTTTTTCTAGCTTAACTTAGCTCAAGTCCAGTATGTTTTAGGCTCTAAAATGGCATGCTTTAGCTCTCTTTTGGGCTGCTTAATTCATTTGAGTTTTTTTTTTTTTTTTTTGCATGGTTGTAGTGCAATGGTCCTCACAAGTTGGTGTTTTATGGTCTTAAACACCTCTTGTTTGAGTTGATAACATCTTTTAGTGTTGTTTTTCACACCATTTCAGCACTATAAACTTTGCAACCTCCCCCTTTGCTTCACTCTTTCATTTTCTTTTGAGGTTTGTTTCAAGTTTGGGATCCTTTAAGCTTGAGATAGGGGTCATGCTTAATGGTTTAATCCTCTTTGAGGGTTCATTATCAACGGCATGATCTCTTTATTTCCTTACATTATCTCTTGGTTGACACTTCTTTCATCTTAGAAGACACTCACTAATGGGCAAATTGATTAAAGGATGATTTGGTAACTAAAATGTGTAAACAAAATTGGCAAGTAAAAGTGGCAAGATAAGCATTATTTGTGTTGCATTGCATGCGTTCAAATTGGACATTAATCTGAACACAAGGAAAATAGGACATTTCATACTCAAAAGTGATGAAATGTGCCACTTTCCTAGGTCTCTGTTGCCCTTAATCATGCATGATAGGGTGATGTCATTTGAGTCTTGTTTTGCACTCATTAACATGTACAAATTGGACCCTTAGCTATCATGCATGGAAATTGTTTCATTGATGGTTTGAGGGCCAAATGTATCACTCCTTTGAGATTGTGTTGATGATAAGGGGTGATACATAGTACAAACAACCTATGAGAATACCCTTTATTTGCCTTGTGTGTTCTCTGTTGCAGTAAAAATGGTGAATCATCAGTGGCCTGCTGGCCACCAATGTGGGATGGCAACCCCCAAATAAGTGGTTGGCCGGCCACCACTTCCGGCCTGCCGGCCACCAATGAATTTTGAGCAGTGTACTTTTGAAGCATGGAAGAGTTGGTCTGGAGAAGGAAACAGTGCAAGGGTTATGTAAATAGAGGCATTCGGGGGCATACAGAGGATGTGTTTCGGGTGGAAACCAATCATGCATGGACCTCCCTCTCATCCCGAGACAACTTTCTTGTTAATTAGTTTAATTTGATTACCCTATGATTAGTCTACGTTGTAATTCAATTAGTTTGTGTTGTAATTATTTAATTAGTTAGTTGTAGCTAATTAATTTGTGTTGTAATAATTAGTTAAACTAGTTTAGTTTAATTCAAGTTTTGTAATAATTAGCTTGATTAGCTTAGTTTAGTTAGCTAGTTAGTTTTTATTCATCCGAACCCTCCTTCGCAAGGGTGTAATGTTGTAATAAGTGTGCGTGCGTATGTGCATGTCTTCAAATCCCATGTCTTTCTCCCTTTTATTTGATTGCTTTTGATGGTTAGATTAGGGACATGTTTTGATTAGCATACTTTATACTTGCATCCATGCATTTGTACTGCATGCACCGAGGCTCGGTGCATCATTCAAACTATATCGCCATTTCAATAATTCTTTGAATACGTGTTTAATCACATGTTGTTTAAGTTGCTTCATATGCTATATTAGTAGCCGAGCCTATTAATTACATTCTTTGCATGTGTTGCATTAGGCATCTTGTATGGTTAGGAAGCATGCATATTTTTCTAACTCATATTTTCTTAGCTTGGAGTACTAAGTGAGTTTTTATGCTTTAGCATACTCGCATGAATGTGAATGTTGTCATGATTAGCATGCTTGCCATGAGGCTATGTGCATAAATGCTAAACCGCTTGAATGCCTGTGGATGAAGGCTTGTTGTTCGAATTGGAATGATTCAACAAATGTGCGTTTGAAGTCCAATTTGTTGAGTGGCAAATCAGTTTTAAGCCCACTATGTTTGGTGAAAAATCCGCAAACTTTAAACCCACTTGAGGTGGAAAATTCAAACTATTTTCGCAAACAAACATGAGTTGAATCGTTCCAAATTGAGCAAACTAGTCTACACTTGCTTGTGCGTATCACATAGTAATGCTAGTTTAATAAACTGGAATAAGAGCATATAATGTTCATAAAATATCATATCATGATTAGTAGAGTCTGATCTTCGATTGGGCGAGCGGGGGTGCTCAATCCATGGCTTTCCCCTCTCGTACCCAAGTTCCCGAACCGAGGCAACTTTGGTGATGACGGACGCGTGGCCTTTGGCACTAGCCATGGGTTTCCTAAATTTTTCCAAAAATAGAATATTTAGGTGGCGACTCTATATCTGGCAAAACAGTCTAATTTTGACATTTTTGAACCTAAAATTAGTTTTCCAAAACAATTTGACGGATTTGGACTATTTGATGTTTATCAATTTCACATTGTAGTTGTGAGATTAGATTCAGAACCACATGAGTCCTAACTAATAGGCACTGCACAGCAATACTCAAATGTGCAAAACAAACTCCTATAGACTAGGTAAATAAAAACGTGTAGAATAATACTCCATTATTAACCAAATACTAAAAACTAGGACAACTTTGACTAACTCAATACAAAGAAAATAAACATGCAACTCTAAATTATTCAACATTTCTAATATCGAATCATAATCAACTAGGTGAAAAACGTTGGGTTGAACTTTGGGGTCAATGTAATAGTTATGAATAAGGATTTCAGAGAAAGGATAAAAGAATTAAACCTACTCTGGTCCATACAATACATTTTCAATCAAGTTTGTTCATTTCCTCTTCTTAGGAAGAAAATAACTAAACTCAAAATACTAACAACATCGTGATACATTAATACAAAACTTCTAACCCAACTACATGATCTACTTGTCACCAATACATGATAATAAGAGATCCCAAAAGCAAGTAAATCATGGAAATCACAGCAGACAAAATAGAAACAGAAATTGGAACCCTACCCTTGTCCTTCCTCACCACCATCCCTTCAACAATAGGGTAGCTCATTGATACAATGAAAAACGACAAGCCAACTTGCACAAACATCTCATTGAAACTTCCATTGATAACCACCATCCTAGTAACTCCTCCAAACAAGGATACTAGGTTTAGAATCACCAAGGTAACCACTGGAACAATCAACATGTTTGATGCTTGGAAATCAAATTTACCCATTTGGTATCTCTTGAGTTGCTCACCATCGACAGCTTTATTGGTTGGTAGAAAACTGGCTTCTCTCATACCCATTCTCTTCATGAAAGCATCCAAACTTCCATAGAGATGACATGTGACTGACTTTATCATCCACATTCTCTGTTCATTGCACCATGTTTGGGTTGAACCTCCAGTTGAGAAGATCTCTTGGATGTGTTTGGATTGGGACGAGACGAAAATGAATGAAAATACAATGAAATACCAGCTTGAAACCTGCCAAACAAGAGAGATCATATTGGGTAGGTACTAAAGCCCTTCAAGTAGTGGCTAGGCATATCGGTTAAAATTTGTAACAATTTTGCTACAAATTCATAACCTAATCACATAATAAAACACATAATATATATATATATATAGCTGCAAAATTTTACAAAATTTAGTGATGGGATCCACATCTAAAAGATCTTATCCATCTATATATGTTTTAATTCTGTGATCAATTTTTGTATTCCCGAACTTGTTAAATTTGTATTGCAATAATAAGGAGGACTCATTATTGTTTTTATTTTGATTTTTTAGTTAATAACACTTTTTACTCCTATAGTTTAACCCAAATTTTACTTTAATCCCTATAATTTCAATTTAAATAATTTGCTTCCTACATTTTAAATCTAATTCCTATAATTTTAATTTGAACAAAGTCTAGTTAGACAGGATTGGATCACAAAAAATTAATTAAATTAAAAAATGGGTCCCACACCCATTCTCAAATCTGCTTAACTTTTTTTGGCCCCACATTCCATTTTCAAATATGCGTTTTTTTTTTTTTTGTTTTTTGGATCTAATTATGTCCAACTAATTTTTGTTAATAAAATTAAAATCAAAATAATAACGTTAAACAAATAGAAAAATTAATGATCTTGCTTACTGTAATCCCAAAATGGGCTATCATTATGGTCATAATTGTAAGATTTATAAAAAGAAAATTGTAAAATTTGTTAGCTCGTATATCATTACTCTATCTGAAATCAAAATTATGTAAAAGAGAAAGGGAATTCATATATATCTTGGGTTACAAACTAACCTCAGGGTACAAGGGAATGCCATTGAGAAGATAGAGCTGAGGAATGGTAGCAAAGCACCACAATGGGATGAAATAGAAAGGAAAGAATGCAAGTTCTGCATAACACATTCTCGCAAGAACAGACATCTGCTTCTCCTTCTGCTTTGGGGCATGTAGAAGAGGACAGAACCTTGAGATAGCAACTTCAACCAAACCAGAACTCCATCTGGTGCTCTGAACCAACACATCACTCAGATTTGTGGTGCCTGAGCCCAAAAAAGCTGGCCTTGCCGGGTCACAATACACTGAAATCCAACCTTTGCCGTGTAAATTGATGAACCCTGTGAAGTAGTCTTCCACCACTGAGAAATACAAGAAGCCCACCTGCAAGTTGGAGCAAAAAAGAGACTTTAGTTTCACAGTTCAAAAAAATCTCGAAAATGAACATACCCAAAAAATAGACCAGAAAAATTACTCATCATTTACAATCTAAGCCAAGATTCATTTATCAATTAGCCCCACAATAAGAAGGTGAAATCTACACCCTACGTTTGATATTCAAGGTAATTTTTTGGTTTGCTTTCTGGGTTAATAGACTTTCTATGAAAACTAATTTGATTATAGATATGACTATATCGCACTAGTTTGAATTTATACCATACACTCTATATTTGAAATATTTTTTCCCGAATGAGTTTGCTTGAATATCTTATGGGACTTGATCCATGCAGTTTGGGCTTGTGAGTCCATTAAGGGCCATACTTTGACTATCCAAATTATTCATCTTATCGAAATATATGTGTAAGTTATTCATAAAATAAAAATAAAAAATAAAAAATCAGATTATATTAATTATAATTACATTGTTTTATTATATTTTTCTTCAAAAAAATAGATGGATTATTTTTAAAAATCATAAACAAATTTCATGCAATTATGTGATTTTTTATTAACAAATCAATTTTTTTGTCATGGATAATCCACATAGTGTGACTTGTAGTGGGCTAACGAGCCCTAACTACATCAATTTAGATCACTTAATAGACTGGTTTTTCTTTTTCTAGTCAATATCTTTTCTACACATACTTAAAAAATAAAATGTGTGAACAAGATTTATTATCACACTACTAAATTTGAATCTACAGCATACACATAATTTTCTTGACACTTTTCTAAGTTCGTAGCTTTTGGGAAGTAGAAAATGTGGACATGATTTGTTTGTTTAGAAGTTGTACTTGCCTCTTTGCCCCATTTGGTTTGATTTTCATATGCACAAGATGCTAAAATTTGGGTTTCTTTGACCAACATTTTACTCCAAACGTCGCTATGATTTGGCTTGTAGTGTCGACCAAGGGATTTGATGAAAACATTGGAAGAGCCAAAAGACTCTTTAAGTTTTATGATATCAACATCTGAAAATCAATGAGAAAATAATTAGTAATTTAAATAGCTATTAAAAAGTGATATTTACACACAAATCTTAATTTATGAACTTATATTCCATTAAGTCTTAATTAAGTCCCATTAAATTTTTAATAGTCAAAATTACCCTTCAAACAATGATTGTTCGTCATTTATAATTATCTATAAAGGAATATGATGATTTGACATTTATTTTGATTTTCAAAATTTTAAAATATTAACATTCAAATTGAAAAACTAAAAAAAAAAAATTTGGGCAAAAAATAGAAAAAACTAAATTATTTTTTGTGTAAAACTAAAAATTTTGTGCCTATAAAAAAGCAAGATGATGGAACATTAATGTGCAAAAATCAAAAAAATAAATAAATAAATAACTTTAAAAATGAAAAAAATGATAATATTCTTAGTTTTAAAATTGGAAAAAACTAATAATGTTCTCAGTTTTATTAGATAGTTGAATCAAACCAATAAGTAGAAGAACAAAAATGTTTAATCTCATGCTCTAGTTTTTTTTTTCATCAGTTAATAAAACAATTATTTAGAATATTACTATGCAAAATTGATAATATTCTTAGTTTTAAAAATTGGAAAAATTGATAATATTCTCAGTTTTACTAAATAAGACTTATTGGTTCAAAAAATCTTACATAAGACCTGACCTACCATAACATTTGTAAATAAGACTTTTAGGTAATTAACTCAATATTAAATAGTGATTTGTAGTTGTTTTGCCACATGCTCTTATGTTCTAAATATCCAGTGACAAAAAAAACTACAATGCAAAGAAAGAAAACATATGTGCATTGAGCTATTTTTTACTTTTTATTTTTTTGTTAGCCCTATTAATAGACAAATTCCAATAGATGAGAATATTTAATTAATCAAATAAGAAGGAATTTATATTTTAAACAAATCTCATAACAATATATTCATAATTTATCCTTAAAAGAATGATTCGAAAAAAAATATATATATATATATATACTTTGATTATATATATTAAAAAAAAAAACAAAACAAAACAAAACAAAATGTGAAGTGTTTCCAATTATGAACCACCATAAAGGAGTTGGGGTAAAGCCTGATTTTCAATGAATATATGTAAATAGGCCAACTCATCCTATTTTTATAATTAACATTATCTATAACATATATGAAAAGAACAAAAGCAAAACGTTAAAACGATACGTGTCTAAAGCCCAAGCATACAAAATTGTCCTCCATTTCGTGGTTTATTACTCTTCACTCTATTTTGTTGGTTGCTCATATATATATATATATGAAAATGCTTTGTAGCACTAAAAAAAAGTCCCCCTAATCCCCCTAATTTCCTTTTTGAGAAATTTTTTTTTTTTTTTTTTTTCTGTCTTCTTTTTCGTGGTTTATTACTCTTCACTCTATTTTGTTGGTTGCTCATATATATATATATATATATATATTTAAACTGGTTGGTTGTTTATCATAATTTTTGAATAATTTGTTTTTGCTCGTGGAGGAGAGCTGACAAAGCTCATGGGGTGAAATTAATTTACTGGTTACAATGCTTAAAAAATTAAAATCAAACCTGCCTATTAAAATTATGTAATCAATTTTAATCAAACTATTTAAATACAGTCCGGTTTAATTTGGAATTACAATATTTACATAATCCATTTATAAGATAAATTACGTAACATTTTCAAAAAAAAATTAGCTTATCATAAATTTAAAAATAATAATAACATGTTCATCAAACAAACTACTCTCAATATATTAATTTTATTGAGTATTTTATTAATACAAGAGGTATACGTCATTTTTTAAAAAAATTTAAAAATTAAACGATATATATATTGAAAAAATATATCTATATATTTACTAGATTGATTTATTTTTCTATTAAAATAATTTTTTCCAATATTTATAGAAAAAATTATGTTCAATTATTAATGTACTTAAATTAACTCAGTATTTTTTATACACATACTTTCATTCTATCGATAAAATTTTAAATTCTGCTGTTGGTGACACGTGAGAGCCCCCAACTAGCATATATAAAAGTAACAAAATATTAAGTCGAGTCTCACACTCCAATTACTAAAAATGTCTTTTTTGCATATTAATATTATAGCCTAACAGTATAGTGGGCCATTTGGTATGGAAATGAAGTCGTATGGATTTGCTACATATCAAACAAACTACTAATAAACCTGGCCTTAGCATAACGGTGGTCACCTCCAATTTTTTCCACACAATATTTCATATAACAAAATACTAATAAACCGAGAATTTACTCATAAAAAAATTTAAAAAAAAAATTTGATGGACAAATTATGGATTCATAAGTTCGGATTTATAGCATTTTTATTCCTATAATGTATAATAAAATTTTTATAAATGTTAGAAATCTACAGTTTGGTATGATGATATAACAAGAGTTAAACCTTTTATTATTGGATATGTAATAAATTAAAAGTTGACATTTATTACACCACATCATTGTCGGTCAGAGTTTGAATGACAATGTTTATTTTCAATTTTCTCTTTTAAACAATGTTCACTATCAAGATAGTCTTGTTCGGGAGAGCAAAAGATTCTATATTGTGATTGTAAGCTAATCTTCACTATATTCGTAGAATAAATTAAGAAATGAGAGATTTTGTTTGATTACTTAAATTGAAACATAATATAAATAATAAAAATAAACAAAACAGATTCTTACTTTTGTTATAAAACAAAATAGAATCTGGAGATAAATAATAAATAAACAACCTACTTAAAGCATTACTTTCTTGGAAATTCAGTTCTCGAAAATTTAATCAAGTCCAATGTTCAACACTATTTCCTTAAAACAGATTCATCCTCTCCACAGTGTTTTCAGAATGTGAACGTCTATCTCTCAGGATAAAATGATTGACGACAATTAGTAGCAGCACTACAAACTAAATGTTCAGCGAATATACTTTGTGTTTATGCTCTTTCTTACATAAAATTTATGCAGCAAAATGCAAGAAGCAAAAGCAGAAGGAAGAACGAAAATTGAATAAAAACCAAATGGAGGACTTGTCTATTTATAAGAAACTTGGTGGCTATTCAGGACAGAGTTGAATAGGTAAAGAACCTGTTCGAGACAGATTTGAACAGGTAAAGAACCTGTTCGGTATGGATTTGCCTGTTCGGTATGGATTTGAATAGCTAAAGAACTTGTTTGGGTTGAAAGGAAAGGTGCATTGGACTAAACTGCCAACGTTCAGAAACGTTGAGAATTTATTTTGAATTTCAAATCGAAATTCAAATTCCAAACAGTATGAATTTAATTTTAGAAAAATAAAATTCAAATGTTTTTTGCCTAAAAAAATAAGTATTGGACTACATAAGCCCAACCCAACCTCACACCCACGCCCAAGCTCAGTCTGGTCTGGGAAGGCAATGGGCGCGCAAGATAGTTTTTGGATCCAATGGATCAAGGCCCACTTTTCCTATAATCTCCCTTTCTAGAAAACTTGGGTACCCCTTGGGGTTCTTCCTAAGATGCAAACTCAAGGCTCATAAACCCCCGCCAAGTTTGCCCACTCAAGCAATCTACAAGCCTTTTCTCCATTCCTTATGGAAACCTCATCAAAACACCATTTTCATGGAGCTCATTTTAGCATTGATTTTCCATTCACCTGATAATGGTTTTGAGTAATCAAATATACAATGTAAATCGTTACGCAGCAAAGAAAGCGTTGCTATATGGACCTACCAACTTTGGCGCATGGGTCCACTTAAAAACTAGATCAAAATTTTTAGAAAAAAATTATTTTTCCCAAAACCATTTATTACAATTAGTTTCATTCCTAATGACCATGAAGGTGAAGAAGAGCCTTTAGTGAAGACAAGGTTAGTTAAAAATTAAACAATAACTTATATGGTTGCTTTGTGATTTATATATGGGTTATAGATTTATAACAATTGAATATGCTTGTATTTATTCATATGAGAAATTACAGGCATATTTGGTTTGTCTCTCAAAATATTTTTGGAGAAAAAATTCCAAAAACATGTTTGGTTGAAAATTTTGGAGAAAAAAAATTTCAAAATTGTTTTTCTCTCTATTATACATCAATCAATCGCTTTTTTCTCTTTCATCTCTTGTTCTCAATCATTTTTCCTCTCACATTCATCTATTCAACTATAAAAGAAAAAATCAAATTATCCCAAATTCTAAAAATATTTTCAAAATACACAACCAAATAAATTTTCAAATTTTCTAAACTCTCTCCAAAACATTATTTTTTAAATAATTTCTTCTTTGAAATTTAGTCACATGTGTTGAGTATACATGTTGGATCAGCCAACCAAAAGCCACCATGTCTTTTTACCAAAGTTACCATTGTTCAGTGCACATTTGTCTAGATACTTGGTTTTTAACTAAGATATTTTGTTAAAAACAATGGGTGGGTTGGCTAGTTTTAAAAAAATCAAAAATCAAAAATTTTATTGAAAAAATTGAAACTAATTTGATAAAATATAAAAAATATATATATTTTTAAAAAATGAATTTTGACCTCCCAAAAGATAAAATTATATAAAAGTGATAAGTATTTTTGATTTTTTATTTATTTTATCAAATTAATTTTTAGTTTAAAAAAAATTGAAACAAGCTTTTTAAAATTAAATCAAATATGGGCAAGGTGAATATGTATTGGTTGGATTTATTTGGTTCTAATGTTTTTTTGGGTGGTTAACACAATGAGGAAATTAGAAATTGCTCTGATTATCTACTATTCAACCTAATCATTCAAGCAAGTAACCAATGAACAACAATGCTCATATAAGATTACATGTTTTTATGGTCAAGCCATCTGTCAAATAAGACAATTTAATATGTGATTTTCTGATTTGTAATTTTTTTTTCTACATAGAGATGATACCTAATTTGAATTTAACGCTCTCAAACTCAAATTTTTATATCTAATCAGGTATATTTGTTGATTGATATTACGACCTTAAAACTATCTAAAGACACCTTAATAATATTATATATTGTGGTGCATCTTATTTTCGCAAAGCACGTGAGGTCCAACTAGTCCTATTAAATATAAACTCAAAAATTTTATCTCCAATTTTATCGAGAAATATGAATCTATGGTTCAAATTCACCCTATAATTATACTTCAAGCTATACTAATCTAACTTTCACTACAGAAACACATCATAGATAAAAATCTAAGGCAAATTTTTTGGGTCAACAAAATTTTTGATCCCCTTAACAACATACCTTCTTTCATGAGACTTCCATAGAGCGCCTTTCTCTTTATATAAAAGCATGTACCAGACAAACTTGGTCCCTCAAGCCCATCCATACCTTGCCATAGTATCTGTTGGTTTTCAATTAAACAAATCATCCAAAAAGAAACACTTATATTATTATCTTATAGTCGTTTTTTTTTTATCAACAAAATAAAATTTTTATTAAAAACATAAAATTAACAATAATGTTTGAGACCACTAAAAGTAGTGCTCTAAAAGCACCACTAGTGATGTGGCAGTGGACAGGGCCCACTGCTTGTGTCTTGTGTTTTTTTTTTTTTTTTATTAAAATGCTTACCAACTCATTAGTGATGCTTTAAAGCACCATTTTTAGTGGGATGTATCATTACCCAAAAATTAAAGACACAAGACCATTCAATACATCGAGAGAAATTAAGACAGTGTAAAATCATACTTCTCAACTCCCAAGACACAGCCACACTACTCCCAAAGCACAGCTCATTGTTACCCATGCCTGTCCCCTCTGCCGGACTTCAACCAAGCCTGTCACCTACGCCGGACTACACCTACGCTTATCACTTTTGCCAAACTCTGCCGAACTTCACCCACTCCATGGCCAAAGCTTGCTTCCAATACCGAGACACCCACAGCAAAACATCTTTGGCGGAACACTCACACCCATTACAAAGTCGAAATACCTCCTCCACAAGCTAAAACATCACTTCCCACGGAGGTGAAGTTTCCGAGACCCACCAACACCAACACCTCTCACGGCCAAAGAAAAATCCATGGCCAAAAGACCCAAGAACCAACTCCTTTGCAGATACTTGAATAGCAAAACTCACTCTAGAATGTAATCGCCGGACACCCCCATGAATAACAACTCTCTCTCGAACGAAATCGTCGAACACCATAGCCACAACAGAGTACCTGAGCCAACCAACCTCCTAGATCTGAAAAGTGTTCACTCCTCAAACTCCCACTCTCAAAGTAGCACCCGAATGAAGCTCTTATACAAATCAGGATCATTCATTTTGCCGACCCAACGCCAAACCTCCAAGGATATGAATGGAATCCACCCCTCAAACTCCCACTCGCAAAGGAGCGCTCAAATGAAGTTCCTAAACAAATCCAACCCTCCCATGTTCAAGGTGCCATCCAAGATCAAAACCCCCCAAGGCTGAAACCCACCCCCATGAACACCCAAGAGAACTGAAAAAGATTTGGAAAAACTATATGGATTTTCAAGTTTATTAGAAAGAAAACAACATAGTGCACAAAAGAGGCGAGGCCAGTCGACCGCCATGGCCAAAACCGATGGCCGGCTGGCCAACAGTGAGGCCTAAGGTAGAGGTTTTTAGAGAGAGAGATCGAGAGTGTGTTAGTATCAGGTGTTAGTTTTTGGCCCTCCAAAAATACTGTTGGGGTGTTTGTGTCAGGTGTTAGTTTTTGGCCATTCAAAAATACTGTTGAGTGCTGTAATTGATGTCTTAGTATTGTGTATTAGTGTCAGCTATTAACTTGTGTATTAACTGTGGTCAATGTTATGGCCAGCATTCTAGCCAGCCGAGAGAGGAGAAAAATGAAGCAGTTTGTAAAGCAGTAGGTCGACCCCCAGGTCAGCCCCCAAGATGACCCAGGTTGACCACCCGGTCAACCGGTTAAGTGCAAGATATATATATATATATATATATTTATTTATTTTAGTTATTATATATATATACATATACACACTTTATCACACACACCTTAACACACATCTTAACACATTCCTTAACATATCCATTGCATCACTACTCACTCTCTAAAATTAACAAACTCTTAATACACATTTTTTAACTCCACTTTTATCACTTTTTGTCATACAAGACATCTTAACACATTTTTTTAAGTATCCCATTGTGGATGCTCTAAGAATGTTTTAATCAGACAATAATATATCATTTCTGTACCTTGAATGTGCCATTACACCACCACTAACTCTCTAAAATTAACAAACTCTTAATACACATTTTTTAACTCCACTTTTATCACTTTTTGTCATACAAGACATCTTAACACATTTTTTTAAGCATCTCATTGTGGATGCTCTAAGAATGTTTTAATCAGACAATAATATATCATTTCTATACCTTGAATGTGGATCTCAATTGGCTGTCATAGATGTCAGTCTTGCTAATGTTGTGAAATTTTTGAGGAAATTGAACGAAAGCTAGTGAAGGAGACATCTTGGGATCAAGATGAAAACACATTGCTTGACGAGCTGATGATGGGTCGTTGCAATACATGTCACAGTCCAAAACTAGTATGTATGGAGAATTGCTAATCATGGCTGAGACTCGAAGCTGCAACAATAATTAATTTGTGTGAGTCATTCTTGACATACAATGTATATATCTATCTATTCTATTATATAAAGTCTATAATTCAGTTTAATGTGAACTTTGTCATATTATTTTCTTTTTCATTTTTCTCTGATTTAGATTTCAAATTTCAATTTCTTTTAGTTTTATTTTTTCTCCATCTAAATTCCTACATTTAACTGGTTGATTTTTATATTACTTCATCGAGCATGCACATGGTGTAGTATGCATACATACATGGATGGATGCATAGATGGGACACATTGTACAATAAGTCTGGAATCAGACTTATCCATCCAAATTTTTTTAAGTACACTACAGGAAATATATAATTTTATGGCGTTTATTTAACGGCGTTTTTTTAAACGTCACTATTTCTAACATTTAATGACGTTTTATAAACGTCATATTTTATTTTAATTAAAACGGTACCGTTTAAGTAATCCAAGTCGTTTGAAAAGCGCCTCCAAATGTGTTTCTCTCTCTCTCTTACTTATCCATCCAAATTTTTTTAAGTAGATAGTTGTGTAGTGAAAATTAAATTTATATAGGATGAGATCTATATATAGAATAAATTTAAATCACAAGATGATAATTTCAAATATTTTTATAATTAAGTTTGAATTTATAATATTATTAGTATATATAAATACATGGATGGATACTTCTTTCAATTAAGTTTATTTTCATTTTTAGTGGTTTTGTTTTTTAAAGAATACATCAAATTTATTTACTTTTTAGATCTCTCTCGATTTCACGATTGTAAAAATTAGAAGAATAAAAAGGACTCAGAAAAAAAAAATTAAGAATCATCTAAAAAGTCAAAAAAAAAATATTACTAGGGAAATTCCAAAATGTTTTTTAAAAAAAATGTTAAGGAAGGACAATGCCACAAAATAATTATATATTGAACTAGGGAAATTCTAATATACACATTCTTTAAAGAGGTATATCATATGCGTTCTTAATTCTCTTCTTTAATTATGACATTATTTTAGTTATAATTTATGAGATCTTTAGTTGTACGTGTTTAGTTATGACATTTTTTTTAGTTATGACTCAAAAAGTATGAAATTATATCATTTTCTTCTTTAATTATAAAGTGCATATAATACACACCCATAATGTTTCCCATTGAACTATCACAAAAAAATATATCAACAATTACCATCATGGGTTAAGAAATCAAAGAACCAAAAATAGTAAAAAAAATTAATCTATAAAACTGATGAGAGGCTGGACTAATCACAATCTTAGAGCTCACTTAAACCTTCAAAATTTAGCATGTTAAATTTTTTTGAAAGCTTAGATGGTAAATTGACATATGTCAAATTTATTATTATATTATTTTTAAAATGTGAACTCTTTGACAACCTCAATTTATACCAAATTATATCGTTGGCAGCTTTTATTTGAAAACAAAGGAAAAGAATAAATAAATAAATAAAAAAGAAAAGGCATAAAGGAGTCTTCGTGTCAAAGTTAGCATGAACTGTTGATGTCAAAAATCATGTCAATTTTTGCCACATTGGGTGGACTTCATGCTTGATGCCAAAATATAGCTATTGGATATCGAGTGGAGGTACTCTTGAAAGCCAATTTCGCCTTTCATTGTGTATGTAATTACAATTTGAGATTTTTAGTTTAAGATTCATAATATTAAGATTTTATAAAATAAAGAACATTCAACGTTTTCCATAATAATTGGGTCCCTTAACAGTTTCACAAACAAATTTCTCATCATAGAGAAATTTTCAACTATTATAAAGAAATTTCAACTTCACGGCAAAATGTTTCAAAATAAAGATAACATTTATAATTTGGATAAATTACAAATACATTCTCTGATATTTGATTAAAATACGAATCGCCCCATGTGGTTCTAGAAATTATATTCCACCCCCTGAGGTTTTTAATTACATAACAAATCACCGCTTTTATTAATAAATCATCAAGTCAATTAATAGTTTTTAATGATGTTAAAAATATGTTTCAATTAATAATTTAGATAATTTTATTATTGTATAGGAAAGCAATTATGAATTTTATTTTTTTAATTAATTTTGTTAAATAAAAAATTTTAACAAGTGAGTATTTGTAATTTTTCAAACTACATAAGGCAATTTGTATTTTAAACAAATTTTAAAAAATGTATTTATGATTTACCCTTATAATTTTAAAAAATGTCTGACATATTAAAAAAAGATGTCATGTCTCAATAAACAAAAAGTTACAAATCTCAATTATTTTATCAAAATTTTTACCAGACACTCACATGAGTGCAGATTCATACCCATGTGAGTGTTGTGTCAAAATTTTGATGAAATAGTATAAAATATTTTGAATCTATTAGGCTTAGACGAGCAAGAAAAATAAAACATTTAAAAAAAAGTCTACTAGAGGCCACCAAAAAAAAAAAATTATACTATATATATTTTTTTTATTGGTCTTTAGTGAAAATTTCAAGAGAGGTAAGCATAATTTATCCTAACTTTTTTTTTTTTTTTTGGAAATTACATTTCAGTGTTATTTTCAAAAATTAATGATTTTAATTATTACTATTTATAAATTTTACCACTTATTATTTTTCAAAACTTACCCTGAACTGATATATTTATCCAAAAAACACCCTGAACTGAAATTTCCCCTACTAGTATGGATGGCAATTTGAACCCGGCCCGACGGGAACCCGATCCCCTGACCCCGATTTGAATGATTTTTTTCCAAAAAATACTCCCGTGGGGACGGGGATGGTATTCGAAATTAAATCCCCGATCAGTTTCGAGCCGAGGACAGGAATCAGTGTTCAAGCCCTGGCCCGTCCCCGGCCCCGAATTTCCCCGAAGTAAAATTACCATTTTACCACTCTATATATATATAAAAAAATCAACCATTTTTCCTCACATAATACAGCAGCAGCACCTCACTCTGAGTCGTCTCTCTCTCAATCTCTCTAAAACGCTCAGCCGATCTCTTCTCCCTTTCATCGATCGCCTCTACACCGATCGACGATCTCAAAAGGTGAACGGCGATGGTGAACAAGGAGCTCCGAGTTCACGATGCCATAAGATCAACTATCTATCGATCGCCTCCATCTCGTCTCTCTCTCAAAGGACCACCGGATCACCATCATCACAGGTAGCAAAACTTCCCATTTGGTCAAATCTATTTCTCTATGAGTCAAATATGTTATTTCAAATTTGGGTTCGAACCAAGTCCATCTGGTCTCACCCATCTACCATTTTACCATTTTATTTTTTTTTTTAAACATTTGAGCTCATCAGTTCTGTTTATGGTGATGATGATGAACATTTTTTTTTTTACATTTGAGCTCGGATCTATGGACTGAACTGTAAGCTTGGATTTATGAAACTCATACCGATTTTATTTTAATAATTTATTTTTTGGACTGCACCGTATGGTTGGACAGATATGATTGATGATGATGAATAGATGATTTGGTGGTGATGTTGTTGTAGATCTAATCTGTTTTGGTGATGTTGTTGTAGATCTAAAGTTGATATTTATTTTTGTCCGGGGAATTTCCGGGGTCAGGGAAACCCGATCCCCGTTAGGGGGCGGGGATGGGGGCGGTGATAGCTTCCCCGTCGGGGATCGGGGCCGGGGACGGGGCCATTTCCACCATCGGGGATCGAGAACGGAGAGTGTGATCCCCGGCCCCGCCCCGCCCCGACCCGACCCGTTGCCATTCCTACCTACCAGTCAAATACAACTATTTATTGCTAGAAAGATAATATGTAGTTCAAGTTTAACGTAGAGCATACGTTTTAATTAAATTCATATAACACATTAAATTTTTTAGTTTTTTTTTTGCCATTTCCACCATTGGGGATCGAGAACGGAGAGTGTGATCCCCGGCCCCGCCCCGACCCGACCCGTTGCCATTCCTACCTACCAGTCAAATACAACTATTTATTGCTAGAAAGATAATATGTAGTTCAAGTTTAACGTAGAGCATACGTTTTAATTAAATTCATATAACACATTAAATTTTTTAGTTTTTTTTTTTTTCTAGAGTTAATTAAATCAAGACCCACTCAACTATTAATATATATCACTTTACCTTTTAATTTATGAATTCATACATATTTATCCCTCAATTACGAAAATTCATACAAATATATCCCTTTTCAAGATAGTATGGTAGCATTTGGTAACATTTATGTTTTTTGTTTATATTTACAAAAATTTTATAAATTAGTTTTTGTTTATTTTTAGAAAAACATAAACCACAAACACGTTTGGTTTGAACAAAATGTTTGAAAAATTTTAAAAATATAAACTAAAAAAATATGTTTGTTCAGACCTAAAATATTTTATATTTATTTTTTATTATTTATGACAATGGGATCATACACATTATAATTGAAAAAAAAATTAATAAAAAATATCAATTGGAAAAAAAATTATTTGAAAAAAAAAAATTTGAAAAAAAAATAATTGAAAAAGATTGATTGAAAAAAATAATTTGTTAGTCAAATTTTTAAATTTCTGTTTAAAAACCAGCGTAAACTCATTTTTTGAGTTTACGTTTTTTCCTCCAATTTACAAACTGAGACAACTATTTATAAATCAAAAAAATTATTAAATAAGTTTTTATGACAGTTTTTAAATTTTTGTAATTATAAATTAAAAACTGAAAACGAAATAGTTACCAAATAAGTCCTATATAATTCGTGAACAAGATACATTTTTATAAATTGAAATGAATCAAAATGTACAAATTCTTAAATGAGACGAGTAAAGTGATTACGCCAACAGTAGGACAGATTTTGGGGTGATTAATCCTTTTTTATATGGTAACTCGTGTGAGGCACGGGTATATATGATTTAAAATGAATAACATAAAAATAGAATTATAAAATATATGATGAGTTATGATTTTTATATTTAATATCATTCGCATTGATTGTCTTTTATTATTTATTTTCAATGAGATTTTGAAAACCAAAAACATAAAAAATAATTTAATTAAACAAACAAATAAATCCAAAACAACTGCAATGAAACATCAATAAGTATCATATAATTAAGAACTATATTTTGCTATGATAAAAATAATATTCTACTGCCAACCCACAAACAAAACAAAGGACTCAATTATTCAAGTTTCTTATTAAAAATAAAATAAAATAAAATTGATATCAAATGTAAAAGAGCAAAATTAAATATTACATAAAAACATATAAGTTATGTGAACCAATCACCAAAATATCATCAAAAGATAAAATTTTAACAAAAGAATATAGTGGATACTCAATAACCAAGTTAAATTACTTTGAAATTCTTAAATAGGAAAGAATTTTTTTGTTTGGTGGGAAATTCATTATGAGAATGATACACAAATAATTTTCTTACACATTTTTTTTTTTTTTTTGTAATTTTGGTACATAATGTTCAACATTGATGCAATAAAAAGAAATTCAAGAACTCTCTAACCTTTGGTAAAATTAAAATTTAGACCAAAAAAAAAAATGCAGATGTATGGAGCATTTCAATCATACCTATAATAATTAAAATTATACATAGAGCGACAGGAAATTCAAATGTATGAAACTTTTCAACCATACCTATAACAATATAAAATTATATAGAGAGAGAAAGAGAAAGGGAGAAAAAGAAAGAGCAACATAACAGTTTTGTATTTGTTTATAATCAATTGAAATATAACTGTTTATATAGGAGGAGAGAGATGTGAAATTGGATAGATAAATATATATTATCTTTATTATGTATTCAAATTCAAATTTAAATTATCTTAATTATGAATTTTGTTGATAGATATAGTTTATCTTTATATAGAATTTCAGTTCAAATATTTTTAAATTTTGTGATAGCTTTCTCTTTTTCTTTCTCTTTTTTCTTTTTTTTTTTTTCCTTTTTTTTTTTTTTTGTTGTTGATAAGTTTGTATTCGGATAACCATTATTCTAAGAGCATATATTATTAAATTATTAAAAAAATAATTTATATTTTAAATGGAAGTGATGGGAGAAGAGTGAGTTTGAAAAATAAGTGAGACATAATTTTTAAAAATTTTAATAGATTTTACAAGAAATTAAGAATAGAGATTTGGAGGCTTAAGTGCACACCCACTATATTTGCTTATATATATAGTATAGATATTCAAGCAAAAAAAGAGATTGAAAGTGATGTGGTGTAAAAGAATGAAGAATTAATATTGTTGAAAAATAAAAATATAATGAGTAAGAAAAAAATTAAATATTAACCAACTTTTAACAACCTCAGAAAAAAATAATAAAAATTGTGTGATGTTCTCTTACATGACTTTAGGGATAAATAAGTTGCATATGACATTTAAAAAAAATATTGGAACCATGTAAGGTAGGTATGATTTTTTACTAGAGAGATAGTTTGGGAAAAGAAGAAAAAGATTAGGAAGAAAGATTTTAATTTTTTGAAAATTAGTGTGAGAGATTATGATGCGGGACATCATGGAATATTTTATTATCTTTCCATTTGAAATTCATAAATTAAGAAATTATTATTATTTTTAAAATAATTAATAATAAATTAAATATATTAGTCAATAATTTTGTAAATTAAAAATTTAATAATTTTAGAATGAAAGTTTAAAACTCTTAAAAAATTTCTCACTAAAATACTTATTTTCCTTATATAATATATAGATGTTACTCTTTTAAATTTTAAATCAAATAAATCCTTTTTTGTATATTTTACTCTTTTAAATTTTAAATTAAATAAATTGTAAATAAATAAAAACATATATTAGTGATGTGATGTGTGTCTATTCGATGGATGTAATTTTAATTCTTTAAAATACAACTTTTGATTTGAATCTGAATCTGAATATAAACTTAAAGAGTCTTATGAGACAAACCAAGAATCAACTACCTGAGAGTGTTTTAGAGATATATAAAAAATTTTATTTGGCAAAAAATCTTACAACAGCGATGAAGTTTGTTCTCTTTATATATACTAGAAAGAAGATACATATTGCATGTCGCTCAAATATTAAGATTTTTTTTTTTATTAAACTCAAACTCTTAGCTTCAAGTCTCATTCCCTTCCCTATCTTTTTTTTTTTTTTAAATAGAGAAATGAAAATTTTACTTCATAAACAAAAGTAAAAGTTTTGGAAATCTCATTTTAATAATTAAAATAGTTTATTTTGTTGAGATTTTTGTATATGTCACGCATAAAAAAATTAGATTTATTTTTTTAAAGATAAATATGATAAATTGAATAGATTATTAATACATGAAAGATTTTATAAAATGAACGATTCACATCATTAAAACGGGACCATGTTCTAAAAGGAAATGGAGTCTTTTTAGTAATACTACCAACTCAAAAATTTTACTCAAAATTTATCAAGAATTATCAATTTATGGTCAAAATTTATTCTACACATGATTCTTAATATACAAATTCAATTTTAATCCAACAATCTTATTCTGGGTAAAGATTTAGAATTGGTTCTCTGGGTAAACAAAATTACAGATTTGTTTTTCGTTCGTGCTTTCACATAATTTTGCTAGCTTTCATGTGTCAATATAATTGAAATTGATCGATTTTGTTGTGATCCCCTTAGCACTTTCCATTTTTTTTTTTTATTATTTGATCAACAAGGAAAAGGGGTCACTGTTCTACTAAAAGTACAGCAGTGACTGTGATACCTTTATTTGAGGTGTATAATAGTCTTATTTTTATGATCCAAATCGTTATTTTGTAGAGTTTATTTACTTTATGCCTACCAAAAATCATATTAATCAGATATCAATAACTATATGATCGAATTACATATTATTTATGTTATTTCTCAAAAGAAAAACTTATTATTTATTTTTTTGGTTATCGATCATATAGTTGTTGATATCCGATTAATATGATTTTTGATAGGCATGAAGTACTTAACAAATCCTACAAAATAACGGTTTGGATCATAAAAATAAGGTCATAATACACTTCAAACGGAGGCACCACAGTCACTGTTGTGCTTTGAGCACAGCAGTGACCCCTTATCTGTTACTTGCACCCCTCTATCTGTTAATAATTTTTTTCCTAACTTCCATTTGCAAATTGTTCTCCCTATATTTTATAATTAAAGAAAAATAAAGATACAATTTCATACTTTTGAGTCCTGATTAAAAAAAAAATCATAATCAAACACTACATAATATATATATATGATTAAAGATCTCATAAGTTACAATTAAAATAATATTATAACTAAAAATAATTAATCATATCTAACCAAAAAAAAAAAATGACATAATTAAAGGTGTATATATAGTAAAATCCTACACATATTATAAATTCCCTCTATTCTAAAATATTAGTTTCTTATTTTATTTTTAATTATTTTAAAATATTAGTCCCTTTTCAAAAATTAAGGAATAAAATAATATAAATTTACTATTTTGTCCTTATTTTAAATTCATTAATAACACAAAAGTATAATTATAACAATTACTAATATTTTCAAAAAGATGTACTGGAAAAGATAATTTTAAAAAATTAATATTTTTAAAATATAATAATTGTACTATAAAAAAAGGAAAATTTATTTATAAGTCCTATTAGGGAGACTTATGCTACATATGGTCCTACTAAAAAACTTATGTTTCCATAAACCCTGTGTGAAATTTGTTGACACATTTACCCTCAATATTAGTTGTTAATATCATAAATAATGGTAAAACCATATATAGGAAATTGAATGTTACCATAAATTAAGTTTGCGAAACGTAACGTAACATCTACATAAACGTAACGTGACCATATCAGATGGGACATTACATAAGCGTAACGTGACGTGACACCTACATAAACATAACGTAACGTAACGTGACATCTGCATAAACGTAACGTGACACTTACATAAACGTAATGTAACGTGTCACGTCACGTTTCACAAACTTACTAAATTTTTGATTTTTTTAATTGAATGTGAAAATTTTATTTTCTATGATAATATTCAATTTTCTATATATAATTTTGCCATTATAGTGTATAATAGTATATTAATACAATTTATTTACAACTTATAGAATCTTGTGAAATACATTTCTATCTAAATAGGACTTGATACTTTATAAGAAATTACACAGGACTTAATATAACATAAGTGTCCGAAATAAAACTTATAAATAAATCTCTCATAAAAAAATTAAATTCTCCCAAAAAAATTATTATTTTAAAACTGAGAGAGTATATATTCTTATTAGTTAAGTAACCCATAATATTTAATAAATTATTTTATTTTATTTTTATTTATTTAAATTGTACTCAACTGGTAATAGGAGAGAGAGGGGATACATACAAGGACATTTAGGGCTCCGGCTTTGAAATGATGGGGGAGTGAAGGCCTTTTCTCACGAGAGACGTAAACGAGGAGAGGTATATCCGCATCCACTTCTTCACTGATGGCTTTGTCATTTATCACCTGTCACACCCACCCATTGCTTTTCAAATGTTTGAAGAGTCCGTCCTCAAAAATAAATGTTTGAATGGTCCAATTTTGCGGCAACAATGATTTATCCCATTCTTCCTCTCACCTCCTTTGACCCCCTCTCTCTCTCATTAGTTACATTTTTTTTTTTTTTTTTTCCTGTTCCTCCAATCACCACTTGTCACGTGACAAAAGGGGTGAGGGGGTGACCCCCAAAAAGGGGTCTCAAGCATTATTCAAAAAAAAAAATACAAATATAAATATATAATTGATCCACAGTGACGAGGATCCCAGCCTCACTCATTTTTCCTGATCTGACAAGTAGGGCAAAGAATATCTTCCACTCGTTACTAACGGGTTGTTTGGGATGTCCTAAATAAGTACACTTTTTGTCTTTTTAGACTAAAAAATTGAGGTTGAAAATATAAATTTTTGGGTTAATTTTTTGACTTTTTATTGAAAAATATATAATAAAAAATTGTAAAAATTGATTTGTAGAGAAAAATTTGAATTGAGAGTTATGCAGCCGTAATTGTTGACTTTTGATGAATAGTGTTAACTTTTTAACTTTTTGAATAATTTTTTGATTTTTTGACTTTTTTGGAAATACCCAAACTTAGCCTAAGAATATCTTCGGGTAGGGTTATGGGATCTTTTCGGAAACATAGAAAAAAATTAATTTTTTATTTTTTATTTATTTTGAGTTATATTATTTTTTATATTTTTTATTTATAAAAAAGTAAAGTAAACTAAAAAAAACCTAAAAAATTAATTTTTTTACTAACTTCTCAAAACACTACTATGTTTGAATAGACTGATTTTACAATTAGGTCTTAATTTGATTCTCTCGGAGTCCATTATTTAGGCGATAATGTTTGGGAAGTCTTGAACTTGGGTTTTTTTTTTTATTTTTTTCACAAAAAAATAAACTTTCTACAAAACTAAAAAAACACATCCAAACAAAATATTACATCTAACTCCATAATCATTTCACTTTTTCTCTCATAAACATCACATCCAATCACAAAAAAATCTAACTATCTTCCCAAACACAAAAAATAAAAATTCAATAATATCCTACAATTAAAAAAATTTACATAAAAACTCACTTTCCTAACACCCACATATAATTAGTAGAATAAATTTTTTAGACTTGAGTAAATAATATTCAGTATCAATAATATAGGGTTAAGTAGATCTGCTGTGTGACACTATTTAGAAATGACATCTGAGATCTTGATTCTTAAGGATTTAACTCTAAAAAATTACCCCTGTACTTAGGCCTTTTTAATATCTTCCCATCTACATCAATTGTGAATGTTATTGATTTATATAAAATTGAGTAAATAACACTCACATTTTCTTATATTTAAAAATATATGATTAATTTTACATTTTTAACATAATGATATTAGTTTCTCTTGAAGTTTTAATTTTACAGAACAATTAAATTTATTTTTATCAATAATTTATTAATAGTATGAATGAAAAAATATTATTAAACTGTTTAGTTCCCATTTTTTCAACTCAGTTTTTAGAAATTTTAAGTTGTGTTTGGTACAATTTTTGAATTATGATTCTACCTTTTAGTTTGAGTGCGGCGTTTGTTTACAGTTTTCAAAACACATTTCTACACCCGCATTTGAAAATCCGTGTACCTGGATGTCCCCCCGAACGTCCCTCCAAATGCCAGGCTAGTCGTCCGGCCGGTTGACCGGAACAGTGTTCTTGATTTTTTTTTTTTTTTTTTACACTTGTTATTTTTATATTTTAAATAAAAAATATTTTCAATTTTTTTTTTAATTTTTTATGAGTTTTGAATAGAATTTTGAATTGTATGTTTGGTTATGAGTTGTAAATTTTTGTATAAAAATTATGTCACATCACTCAATTCAAAAATTCTTTTCAAAACTCATTCACCAAATAAATTTTTTACATTCAGGACTATTTTGGGAAGATGGTTATAATCAACTTTTTGGTGAAAAACTGCTTATAAGCAGCTTTTTTGTGAGAGATGAAGTAAGGGGTGGTTTGAGATGTCCTAAATAAGTGCACTTTTTGATTTTATGAAATATGGGTTGGGTTTGAAGTGATATGGTAGAGAGGTGATGTGATTTAAAAAAGATGATATGACTTAAATAGGATACTGACTTTTTGACTTTTTGAATTTTTTAGTTTATGCCAAACAAGGCCTAAGTTATAATCTGGGAAGTGGATTATAACCCACTTCCCAAAATAGGCCTCAAAATGTAATTTCAAAACTCACAAACTCAAAATATAACTCATATTTTCAAATCATATTTAGAGTTGGTTTGGGAAGTGGGTTGGTTTTTTAGTTTTTTGACTTTTTTAGCTATTTTAGCCTAGGCTAAAAAACTTAATTTGGGAAAGACTTTTTGACTTTTTAACTTTTTAGACTTTTTTTGTGAGAGAAAAATGTAATGATTATGAATTGGATGTGATATTTTATTTTTTATGACTAAAATAACTTATTTTATTTTTTATGACTAAGACTTATTTTGGGAAGATGGTAAAAAGTAACTTTTTGGCTTTTAACCAAGCTTTTGGCTTTTTTAGACAAATGATTTGGAAAGTTGGTAAAAAGTGACTTTTGACTTTTTTGATTAATATTTGTTTATGATGTCAAATCATAATCAAATGACCAAACTATCCCTATTTAGTTTAAAATATTACAACTTCACCCATGTAGTATATTTTGACTCGTGAGGGGTAAAATTATAATTTTACCCTTGGCTAAAAACCACCTTCCCAAATGGAAAAAAATTCAAAAAAGTCAACTTTTAACTTTTGCTACAAACTAAAAAAAGTGACTAAAAGCCAACTTCCCAAAACAAGCCTAAAACAAGCTAAAAAAACCCTAACCCAACTTGCCAAACGGAAAATTTTACCAAACGTAATCTTAAACTTTCTGTTTGATTAACTCCAAAAAAGAAAAAAAATTTCGAAATCTCAATTTTCTAGATACAAACTATACTTTTTTCTTTGTGGGTCTGTCAAGCCAATTGAGCCCGGGACCCACAAGAAATTACAATTTAACTCCTGCTTGTCCTCTTTATTTATTTATTTTTGATGTTACTTGCCCGCAAAAAAATAAACACAAATTTATACTAGTTGAAGTTAGAAAAATTTATAAGGATTATTTTGAGAGGTGGATTAAAAATTATTTTTAATTTTTAATTTATTTATTTTTTTATAAAAAAGTTTAAAAAAATTAAAAAAATAACTTTTAATAATCTTTCCAAAACTACTAAGTTGAATACAATTTATTTTTAATATCAATTTGTGATGAAATTACATATTTTGTAATTAAATTTATAAAATTTTATGATAAATTCATATATTTTATGAGAAAATATGTATCTAGAAATGGGTAAATATCAAATTATATTTTGATACTTAGGCCTCGTTTGGGAACAAGTTAATTTAGTAATTTTTTGACTATTTGGCTAAAATATGAGCTAAAAAAAATTAGTATGTTTAGGATGACTTTTTGATTTTTTACGAAAAGATGTGCAAAAAGTAGAGAGAAACGAAAATTTTTGACTTTTTAGTATGGGTTATTGGCTTTTTGGCTAATTTAGTAACTTTTTGGCTAAAAGGGTAGGTTCCCAAACGAGGCCTTAGGATTGGTTTGGCATAAACTAAATAATACAAAAAGTTAAAAAGTCACTATCCTATTTAAATCACATTATCTTATTTAAATCACATCACCTCTCTAACACATCACTGTCCTAAATAAATATACTTTTTGTCTTTTTGAACTAAAAAATTAAGGGAAAAAATATGAATGTTTGGGTTAACTTTTTGACTTTTTATGAAAAAATATATAATAAAAAATTGTAAAAATCGATTTGTAGAGGAAAATTAAGATCGAGAGTTGTGCAACTGCAATTGTTAACATTTACTGAATAATGTTAACTTTTTAACTTTTTAAATAACTTTTTGACTTTTTTTACCCTTTCAAAACTCGGCCCTATATAATATATATATATATATATAAATATGATATAACTTTTGATGTGACAATATTTTTTTATTTTTTATACCATAATGTTCCAGCCCCCTCTCACCTTGTGGAGTGAATTTTCAATAGTATATTTTTTTTTAAAAGCAAACATATATTTATGTTCAAAACATAATTTTTAAATTACTTTTTAAAAAAATAACTCAAAAAACGAAACCAAACATGACAATTGTAATCCCCTTTACTATTAAAATATGAATTTTTATTTATTTATTTCAATGGAAAATGAGGAGCAGCCTGCTGTGAGTTTTTATATAGACTTGCCCCGAGCTTTCTTTGATAATTCAAACCGTTATATTATAAGGCTCGTCAAACATATTATTCTTATAAAAAATCAAGTTAATTAGACATTCGTAAACCCACGATCGAATCCTAATTATTATTTACAAATTATAAAAATAATGTTGTTTATTTTCTAAAAACAAATGTTCTCTTAGGTAGCAAATTTTCAATCAATTTGATATTTTACATAAATGATCTAATCAATAATTATATAATATGACCGGCTAGAATTAATATATACATATATATATATATATATATATAACAAAATAGAACAAAATAGGCCTCCATCGGAGTCACAGCAAACTGTTGTGGCTTGGAGTCACACCAACGTCTCCATTTCCATCTTAATGTCCACTCACCATCTTTATCAGTTACAATCACTTTAATTTTTGAAAAATGAAATCCCGTAATTATATGAAAAGTATAAAATTTATTATTCTTTTTGTCTCAAAATATTAGTCTCTTATTTCATTTTTTATTATCTCAAAATATTAGTCTCTTTTTAAAAATTAAAGACTAAAATAATATGAATTTTCTATTTTGTCCTTTTTAAATTCATTAACAATACAAAAAATATAATTATGACATTTATTATTCTCAAAAAAATGTATTATAAAAAGGTAATTTTAAAAAAGTAATATTTTTAAAGTACAATAATTATACTATCAAAAAAAATTAAATCCCCAAAAGAGACTACTATTTGAAATGGATGGAATATATTTTTTTTATAAATTTTAGAGGACTTTAATATAATTTACCGTTTAAGCCTCCGTTTGAGAAGTGGATTGACTTTTTGACTTTTTAAATTTTTTTGAATATTTTAACCTAGGCTAAAAAGTTTAGTTTGAGAAGGACTTTTTAACTTTTTTGACTTTTTTTTTGTAAGAAAAAAATATAATAATTGTGGGTTGGAAGTGATGTTTTATTTGTTGTTACTAAAATAATCTATTTTGTCTTTTATAGTTAAAATAATCCCAAACCTCCTTGCCAAACGGAGCCTAAAATTTGTATATTATATACATTTTTGTTATGCACATTGTTAGCATATATTACGGTTTTTTTTTTAAGTCAAAAGTGGTTTAAAAGTCTATACCAAACAGGTCTTAGAATTTCTTTATTTTGACGAAAACAGTATGTAACAAAAAATATAATAATAATAACGACCTATAAAGTACATATTATTATCCTGAAAAACAGCAAATCACACACACACACACCGTTTATTCGTAGTTTTGCTTATGACCACATAAATAAGGAAAATGTTTGGTAGCCTCAAAATTTTATGACTTAAATGGCTTAAATCTGTCAAAACGACGTCGTTTTACACTCATTTACACTCAAAACGACATCGTTTTAAGTGATTTGAGCCATTTGAACCACAAAATTTTAAGCTACCTAATATTGTTGCATAAATAAATAATGAATTTGAAATTTGTAACATTGTCAGCATCTGAGATTGAATAATTATAAATCAAATTAAAATTCACCTCAATAAGAGGAGGGTGATCTTGATTAATCGTGAAGTTTGCTTTCTCCCTAATCCTCATCACACGCTCCTTGAATTCCTGATATTTCTCCTGTGCAACATGAAATCAATCCCCACCATTGTTATACCAAATTTCTTAAATTTATTATAAATATCATTTCTAAAAAATCATCACAAAATTAATAAACAAAATAATCATGTAGCTGCATGAAACTATCCTAACAATATAATACAAACTCTTAAATTTAAAAATACTCTGAGCAAGTCAAATAAACTGTGTCACACTGCTTCAATTTAATCCACAAATATGAATTCAAGAAAACTTCTTCCTGAAATATTATTAATAAGTACATCTTGTAGCCTAGGCCACTTTAGCTAGCCTGTCTCTGCCATTTTTGTAAAGTTCTATTTTTTGTAGCTAAATTTAACTAGTTAATATTCATTAGTCATTTTTCTTCGTCATCTTCCTCACTTTCACTTTCTCTATTATTTTGTTGGAAATGGTCTCACGTAACCTCTTGTGTTGGAAATGGTCCCACGTAACCTCTTGTTCAAGGAAAGTAGTTTTTTCATTATTTTATTATTTATTTAATAAAATATGAAGTGAAAAAATTAAAATATTTAAGAACAAATTTTGAAATTTACAAGGAATGTGTAAAAATATCTGATCATTTTATATGATTTTTTTTTTTTTTTAATAACTTTTTGCCATTTTAACCCATTGCTAAACAATTCCTAAACGGTTAAGTTGAGAATGGAGTGTAGTTGTGTAGAATAGTGACTTATATACATCATTTGTCAAACTTAGGATATGTTTGGATGCAACTTTTCTAATCTTTCTTACTTGTAAATTTTTTCTAAAGGAACAAGTTCTTTCTGGCCAATTCTACTATGGCCCCGTTTGATAGAACTGTAGGAAAGTGATTATAAATTATAACTTAACAGATTATAACTTATAACGGTTAACTTAAGCTGTTAATCTGTTTGATGTAGCTATAAGATTATAGATTTAAGCAGCGGAATAGTGTTTGATAGATAATCTATAAAATAACATTTTTTTGTGTAATTATTCTTTTTGTCCTTATATGATATAAAAATGATAATTTTGTCATTTTTTTTTCAATTAACATAATTAGTATTAATTAGTATCAATTTATATAAAAAATTGATACATTTGATAAAAATGTAATGGTTAAATTAGTCTCAATTAATACTAAAATTATTAATTAGTATCAATTAATATTAATAATTTTTTTTTCTTGTTTCTTTTATTTATTTTTTCTTTTCTTAATTGATACATTTTCTTTTATTTTTTCCTTGTTTCTTTCTTTTCTTAATTAATATTAATAATTAGTATCAATTAATATTAATATTAATATTTATTTTTTTTTTCTTTTCTTAATTAGTCTCAATGATATAAAAATGTAATTTTTTTTCAATTAAAAATTGATACATTTTTTTTTCTTTTATTATTAATGGCTTAATTTTTTTTCTTAATAATTTTCTTTTCTTCAAAATTGATGCATTTCCCTGTTTCTTTTAATAATACTAAAAATATAATGGCTTAATTAGTTTCAAAATTGTTATTACAAAATTGTTACAAAAAACACCAATTTAGTATTAATTAATTCATATAAAATATGTTACAAAATATACCAATTTAGTATCAATTTAGTATTACAAAATATGTTATTATTACAAAATGTAATGGCTTAATTTAGTATTAATTAATATAAAATTTATTATTATTATTATTATTATTATTATTAAAGAAATACTGACAACCCCTCTTTTCCGGCAGCCCCGACAGTGGGCACAGTGGCGACGAGACGCTAGGATTTGAAATCGCGACGATAGAAGGGAGATCGCGACGGCATAGAAGGGATCTGTTGCGATTGATCGCGATAGAGGACTAAGTGCTAGGGTTTCAAATTGCAATGCCGGAGAGAGAGATCTGCTACCATCGCGATGGGTGTAGTTAGGGTTGTCGATCGCAAGCTCTGGTTCGTCACCGTTCGATCGTCACACCGTCGATGGCGAGCTCTGGTTTATCGATGGCGAGCTAGGGATTTGCTCTTCTAGTTCGTGAGAGAGAGAGAGAGAGAGAGAACCAGAACCCATCGCCAGAAAATCGCCTCTTTGGCTCGTGTGAAGGACAAAAATGAGTGTTTTGGTTTATATATGTGGCACAATTGTAATAATTTGAAATTGTGAGGGGCATTTTAGTCATTTTACCCCTCACATCTCAGCTATGCACTTAATCTGATTTTTTACTTATAAATTAAGCTTCTACTCCCCCACTCAAAGAATAAGTTGATTTTTGATTTACAAAAAACTATAATCTGCATTGTTAAGTTGAACTAAACACATCAAAATAGCTTAAATTAAGTTAAAAACTTAAATAAGCTAAAGATAAGCCCTACCAAACAGGGCCTATGATAATGCAAATCATTCCTTTTATAAATTTTATTGAGATGATGGCCTATTTAGTGGAGCTTTTTTTAAGTTCAAAGTTGATAATCAGAACGTAAAAATTAAAAACACTTCTACCTCAGCTTTCAAATAATTTAATTTTTTTTTCAACTTATTTAAGCTATTTTTACCTAATAAATTATAAGTAAAAATTGTACCAAATAATCTAATACAAACTCCAAAATCAAAATAAGTTATAATCACGTACAAAAGCTGTAACAAACAGTCTCGATCATACATATAGTTCAATCAGTTTGATTCAAGTTTTTGAATATGACCTGAAAAGAGGCCCTACATTTCATTTAATTCATCACAATTAGGTTATAATTATAAAATAATCTAAATATAAATAAAAAAATTGTGAGAATAATTCAATCTTAAATATATTATATTTCCTAGCTTAGTAACATTTTCATTGGTTTGTTGATTTACATTTATCCAGCTACACTTCCATTAGTAGTATCATTATGAATTCATATTCTTCCAATATTCATGAAATTTAAAACGGAATACCACAGATGAGTTCACCAATTTTCACAATTTATAAATTAATTAATATGATATTCTAAGATTGAACGAATGTCAATCATTATTAGACATATATACAGTACTAGAGTTTTTTCACGCATGAGATCTCTCAAAGTTAACCCCTCTAATCATTATTCAACATACTTTTTGTATTATATATATAGTATTATAGTATAAATTAACTACAAACAACAGGCTCATGCGTTTTTAAATTAATCTGGTAAATGTTGAACTTAATTTTTTAATCATTTAAAGAAGTGTAATTATGGTTTTCTTTCTCAAAATTTTATTTCATAGATCAAAAATATAATATGTTTTTTTATTAATAAATTATTAATTTAATTATAATTTTAAGTCAATGTTAATTTTATTATTTAATTATATATTTAATAATATTAAATTATTATAGTAAGGTAAACAAGTTAAAAATTTATTATTTTAATTAATTTTAATTGATAGAAAGAATATTTAATTTTTTTTAAACTATAAGAATAATTCATATTCTTTAAACACAAATCAAAGGGCATATTTTTTATTCAATCATTAGTGGTGTCTGCGAGCTTAGAAAACAATGTAAAATTGTGGAGAAATACATACATCTATCATTGTTCTA